TTTTTATTATGTCCACATTCAAAAAACCAGTGTTCTAGATCATCAATACTGGGATTACTACAATTACATATATTGGTATCGGAGAGTTTCATTTTATGAAGAAGGTAATTGATGTTACCATGTCCAGTTATGGCCCTAAAGAGGGTTACATAAGACTTTCTGTTTAAATCATTAAATTGGATAGAAGGTTTTGGTACTAAAATTGGGTATGTACGTGTATATCTATTGATGTTATTCATTGCATAATCAGTATAATTTTGTTTCCAGATCTTATATAAATTTTCTTTGATAATTGGGAAAACATCATAAAATTGTAAGTTAAGTATAAAATTTTCACTATGAATGGCTTCTTTAGCATATATATCTACTTTTTCATTGCCGATAACCCCACTATGACCCTTGCACCAAACAAATAAAATTTGAATATTTTGTTGTGCTAAATTAGTTAATTTCCGACATATTTCAAAAACTAAGGGATTTTTATATATGTTTTTAGTGCTATTATCTATAGCCTGCAAACAGGATCTTGAATCGGATAAAATTACATATCTGGTTGACTTCCTATTCTGACTAATGTAATCTAGGGAATATAGTATAGCAGACATTTCTGCAGTGAAAATACTAGCCTTAGGGTGGAGTTTATATTGTTTTTCAATATTTTTGCTAGGTATATAATATGCACATCCAACACCATTATCTGTCTTAGATCCATCAGTATATATACTAATTAATGAATTATCTTGCACCATGGAATTAACTATGTTGTTGTTTATTTGCGAATATGGGGTATATTGTGGATATTTAACCTCTATAGGGCATAAAATATTATTATAGTTTTCCATGAAAAAAGGAATTTTAATATATGACGTTATCTCATTTTGTAATTCAGATGTTTGTATAAAAGCCGCAGCCAGCGGTGGAGAATTTTTATGTATCCAGTATTTTGATGTTAGGTTATCGGTTGACAATGTATAGATTTTGTTAAGAAGAAAATTATTGGTGATGTATATATTTTTAACTAAAAACTTTTGGGCTAAGTAACTACGTCTTAATTGTAGAGGCATTTCCCCAGTTTCAGCTAGTAAGGCTTGTACTGGAGTAGAACAGAATGCACCAGTGACAATCCGTAAAGCTTTATATTGTAGGCGGTCAATTTTATTTAGCCGTGTTTTAGTCGCACTACCATAAAATACTGAGGAAAAATCAATCAAGGATCTAGTGTAAGCTCTGTAGAACATAAGTGCAGTTTTAGGGTCAGAACCCCAATGTCTTTTGGTGGTTGCTTTTAATAAATTCAAACTTTTCCCAGCCTTTTCAATAATACTGTTAATTTGTTTTTCCCAAGTTAATTTTTGATCCAACCAGACACCCAGGTAGCGGGAACATCTCCTCCAAGGAAAATTATATGGACCCAGAGATATATTGTCCTGATACAACAGGTTATGTCTCGTAAAAACAGTAATTTCAGATTTCGAGGTTGAGATATCCAGGCCGTTGTTGAAGAAATAAGTGTTTATATTGTTGATATTTCCATTTAATATCTGAAGGCAATTGTTTAATTTTTTCTGGGATGTATAGATGCAAAAGTCATCTGCATATTGTATAATAGTTACTTCATGAGTGATATTATGAATATCTGAGGTATAAATATTAAAGAGAAAAGGACTGAGAACTGATCCCTGTGGCAAACCCTGGCTTGTTATCCTGGGTCCATGAAGTTTGTCAATCATTTGGATGTAAATATTTCTTTCAACAAAAGTTTTAACAATATTAATACAGAAGAACCTCGGTATATCCAATACATTAACCATTTTATCTACTAGTAAGGTTAAATTGACGTTATCGTATGCACTGGATATATCCAGGAATAAAGCAGTTAAATAATGATTTTTTGAAAAACAGTTCTGTATATCAACTGTTAGATGAGCAATGCAATCCATAACACCTTTACCTCGTTTAAAGCCAAACTGTGTCTTAGGTAATTTGTTTGTGTATTCCACCCACCATTCCAAACGACTTTTAATAATACGTTCCATAGTCTTAAGAATACATGACATTAGCGAAATAGGTCTGAATTCATTTATTTTATTTGGTTTATTAATGGGGATTACAATAATATTCTTTAATATTTGGCACTCATTGCCTTGTAAAATAATTTTATTAAATGCTGTGCATAAAAGTTGTTTGGCATTTTCGGGTAAAAATTGGATCATGGAATATGTAATACCATCTAATCCCGGAGCAGTGTCGCTCGATTTTTTAATGTTAATATTTAATTCATTTATTGTAATTAATGTACATAGGGGATGTTGATTGTTATAAACCAAGATTGGGTCAAATGGTAAATTGACTGAGTCTGGAGCAATTTTATCTAATAGTTGTTGGGCAAGATCTTCAGAGATTGCATTGGTTGGGTTATTTAATAGTCCTTTGGACACAGCATTAATTCTTTTCCATATTAGAGATGGGCTAGTTTGGGAATTGAGACTTGAGCAAAATTTTTTCCAGCTTTCTTTTGCTTTTTGATTAAACATTATTTTGGATTTAGCGGAAATGTTTTTATATGATAAGAAATTTTGCAAACTGTGTCGTTTTTTATAATTTTTCAGAGCTTGGGACCGTTCCATAGCTATTTTGGAACAATCGTTATCCCACCAAGAGGGAGTATACCTTTTAGTATATTGAGTATTAATTTTACTAAAACATATATTAGCCGTTTGGGTAATAATATCGATAATTCCAGAAAGGATTGTATTGGCACTAGGCGAAATTTCTATTTTATATACTTTTTCTTCAATAAGTTTTCTATACAATTCCCAATTTGGGTCTTTCAAAGACCATCTATTAATTTTAGTGTTCAAGAATGCCTGATCATTTTTGTTAAATTCTAAAACTACAGGTAAATGGTCGGAACCATATGAGTCTTCTAATACTGTCCAGCTGGAACCATTTAATAAATTTGATGATATAATTGTGATATCTAATGCAGAAGAGTAATTATAAGAGATTCTAGTCGGGTTACCTTCATTTCTGACTATAAGGTGGGGCATAAAATCAATAGCCTCCATTAAAACATCACCTGCGTGATTGATTTGGGATGAACCCCAAATTGTGTGATGACTATTAAAGTCACCGCCGATGATGCATGTTTTGGATAACTTATTGAATATTTGTATATAATTGTTCACCGAAACGTTAATATTAGGGGGACGATACATAGACGCTATAGAAATTATATCACCATTTATTTTAAGGTTAATGGCACATATTTCAATATTATTATTGTTAATGGAATTTAAGTTTATAATATCATAGGAAAAGGTACTTTTGACAAAAATAGCAACGCCACCTTTACCATCTCTTCTATCTTTACGAACTAAGTTGTAACCAGGAAGTCTAATGTTATAAGTAGGTTTATACCATGTTTCAGAAATAAGAGCTATATCAAATTGTGTATTAGTGCATAAATTTTTAAGAAGGTTATGATTAGCGAATGCCGACCTGGCATTCCAATGAACTATTTTAATTTTGTGACTGAATATTACCATAATTTTTAAAGACATTCTTAACAATATCTGTAATCATAATCTGCAAGTTAGTCTCAGATAAAGAATTGCGCACATAGCTGTGTTGGTTTGTTGATTGAAAAGTAGATGCAATGTTATTAAATAAATCTTGAGTTATTCTGTTTTTGATATCTTCAAATGAGGGATTATTTGACATCATGATGGGTGATCCCGTATAAGACCAATCATAATCTCTTTTAGGAGGAATATAACTGGGGCTAGGATTATCTGCTTTTCGCTTTTTAGTTGGATTGCCGATTTCTGATTTTTTTTGAGAAAAAGTTATGCTCTTAGAAGGTTGAGCAATAACTCTATTTGTTCTAGGCAATTCAGGAAAATCAATATTACTCGTTAAGAGAGGGGCATATTTATTTTTATCAACTAAGCTAGCATATGAGGGATTGTTAACTACTTTTTCAGCTTCTTTAAATGATAGATTTAAGTGTGCCATACATTGTTTAGTGCGTTTTTGTTTATCGAACATAGGACAACTTTTATCAGTGCTAGAGTGTGATGAGGAATCACAATGTACACAACGTTTAGAGCATTCATTGCATGGAGTATCATTCTCCTTCATAATGATGCCACAATTTTTACACCTTTTATTGCTTTTACATTGGGTCGAAGTATGCCCATATCTTAGACATTTGAAACATTGAATCACTGGTGAATAGTAGGTATCTACAAAACATCTCAATTTTCCGAAAAATACATATTGGGGCAATTCTACTTTAGCAAAAGTAACTTTTATTAACTGTCTCGGCACCCTTATGAATTCTCCCTCTTGAGTTTTGCTTGAAGTTTTACGATAAAGCCTTTGAATTTTATGAACTTTAATTGGAGAATTAATTAAATTCATTAATTGTTCTTCAGTGTAACTAGTATCAATACCCCGAATAATACCTACTTTTTGTGTTAAATTTAAAGGAATATAAGCCACTAAATCATGTTTGGGAAAAAAATCACTTTCAACGATCCGATTTGCAGTGGCGGCATCGTTTATTTCGAGTTTAATTAAATTTTTTCCTACTGGATACAGTTCTAGAATATGTTGTTCGTCATCGCCCAACTCTTTAAGAATTTCATTAAGTTTCATAGGATGTATTCGACCTACATTTAGATATTTATGTTCTATAAAAACATAGTATGGACCTGGATTATCAAGATAAAAACGGTTCGAAATGTTTATTTTGTTAATTCTATCAGATAATATTTTTTCACTTGTGTTAATATTATTTTGAGAAATATTTGAAACCATTTGATCATCATCCATGATATTGATAATATTGATAGGCGGCCCCCGGCCCCTAGGTATATCCCCATCGATGTCCGACATTATGTCAGATCATCGAAGGGCTGCAATTCAAAGGCTAACTTATATTTTATACCCCTACTTAGATTTAAAATAAAATGGAATATATTCACCAAATGCAAATGATTCTCGTCAAAAAACCACTGATAAGCAAGCCACAAAAAACCAGACAGACCGATCAATGCACACGCTACGGTGTTTCAAACCGAACTGTTGTTACACAGTTAGTTTGTGAAAAGTTACTCTCCATCATTTTTAAACACTTTAGAATTGCAGTTATCAGATTCAGCTTTGATAGTACTTGACATTCTTATTTGATTCGAGAAAGCTCTTATTGTCGCAGATAAACGTATTCTTGAAACTAAACAGGAAGTCAATGACAATCAATGAAAATTGAAAACTAATAAGAACGGTTTGGACTGGACTAGGATTTGAACCTAATACATCTACTTAGACTAGTCTAGATTACGGGTCTTAGACCAGAAGAATCTCCAACTGAGAGTTTCGATAGTAATTTCAAATCCCAATTTATTACTAAAAATCCTTTTTTATATTCTAGGAGTTCTCCACGTAAAGGTATCTGGCAAGGCCAGGCTTTCGATACCGATCCAGGTTCGGCCAACTCTGTCGCCTACTCCCCGACTCCATGCCTGAAAGTGCGGGGTATGTTGCAGGAGGAGGGGTCAGGATTAGGCGGTCCGGCTGCCAGAGAGGCGGTTCTAGCAAAGGTCGCGCATCTGTGCCACATTTTACATTGCGAAGCCGAAGTCATTGCCGGAGTTGTCTATTTGAAATGCGCTACCGAAGACGATGCTGCTGTTGCTTTCAAGAACTTACATGGATGGTGGTAAGTAATTCTATGTTATACATTTTTGTTTAATTCAAAAATTCAAAAACATCATAAGGAAAAATGAACATTTTTTTTTTCATAGTTGACATTGTTTCTTCTTTAATTACTGACAACTAAACTGAGGAATTAAGGTTATTTCACAAATTAATTTGAAAAAAATTCTAGGTATTCTGGGCAATTAGTAACCGTTAAGTACCTGAGATTGGAGAGATATCATCAAAGATATCCTGATGCTCCCTCCGGTCCACCTTACCTTAGGAGCAACAATCCAATAATTAATAACGACTGATTAGTCTAGTTATAAAGCAAATTCTCTATTTTTTAAATTTAAATGTATTTTTTCTTGTTGCTGAGATCTTTTGTCACATATTTTAGAAGATTGTATCTAGCCAATAATTTTTGTTGAAGCCTGAAACATGTGACAAGATCTCAAAATTTAGTATTAAATTTATGTTAATTGTCAAGTATTTTTGCTGTGGATTTTGGAAAACAATACTTTTGCCCATGACTATTTTTTTTTGTGTGAAAATGTTTCTCAAAATTCTATTCCAGAATTCACAGCATTTTGCGTTTTAAGTCGGCTGACGTTCTGCCAGTTTTCTAGAAAAACAAGGCCAGTTGATTGATATTACTTTGTTTTTAAAATTTTGAGTAAAAGTTTTTTTCTACAAACGTCACTAAAAGTGTCATTTTTAACGCATGATGTCAGTGTCTAAAATGCCATTTTATGACACTGGTGTTAAAAGTGATTACTTTTAGCACTAGTGCTAAAAGTAATCACTTTTAGTGCGTTTGTAGAAAAAATAGCGTATGATATTCGTGCTAAAAGTAATTTTATTTTGTTCAAAGGGATGGAACACTCCGCCTTCGGCGTCGTGTTCCTTCCTTCCCTTTTCACAAAATAAAATGTCACTTTTAGCACTTATATCATAAATAACTATTTCTTTAAATGTTAATTAGGAAAAGGTTTATTTTTATTTGTTCTAATTTAATTTGTTTCCATTGATTTTTTAATCAGTTAGTGTTCATTTCAGTACTCTAATTATTTTCACTGTTTTGTGGTTTAAATAATAAATTTTAGTCCAATTTACTAACACTCGGTACTGATTGTATTTTATTTCACTTATAGTACGGGATACGAGGCCTATTTCATCAAATCATTTTACACCGTCTTGCATTGTTATCATCAGTTAGATAACATGATGCTGAAACGCACTTGCGCAGTGAACTATATGGGACTGGGGAATTTAGCTGATAAAAATGTTCGAGAAAATGTCGTCATAATCGAGGAAAATATACAATTTCACACCGTCTTGCATTTACTTATTAAGTTAATTTGTACACAAACAAAATTGGAATAACCTATGCAAGACATATTCCTGGGGGTTTTCGGGTTGTAATATTAGATAGAAATTGTCAATTTTTCAGAGGGGTGAAATATCATTTCACACCACTCAATTGTTGATTTAGATTAAAGCTTGAATGTAGAATAGCCATTGGATACTGATGCAAGACGCAGTGTGAGGGGATAATGGGCTGCAAGACAGAGGTCAATGTGTTGTCTTATGAGGGAGGGAGAAATCATTTTACACCGTCTTGCACTGTTACTTATGGGAAAAAATAGAACACATTGATAACATTTTTAAAAATACAAGACATTCTAAATGGGAAGAAAGGACTGCAAGACGATGATGAAGTTGACTAATTTTGACGGGGGTCAATCCATCAGGTACAAAGGTGAATACTACTTCAAATTACAAATTATACACATTAATTTTAAATAGTTTTGCTCTTCACCACGTAGAATAATTCTATTTTGCGAAATTCTCCTAATAATATGTATATATGAATGTTTCTACGGACATCAAATAAAAAAAGATTGAAAATTGTTTTATTTTTGACGGCTTTTAATCATTTAGGTGCTCTTTGAGGTGGATATCCCATGACACATAACATGTTTTGTGCACATAACAGATTGTAAGCATTAAATTTGAAGAATTTCATTTTAAAGCAGCAAAAAAATGTGAAAATGACACAACAAATGATCTGTCTGAAATTGTAAACAAAAATTATAATTCCTGTATTCAACAGACTCCCCTGTTGAGCTGCTATGTCAACTGTCCTTTTTCATCTGTATGATTTAAAAAAGAATAAACATTAAACGGTTCAGTAAATAACTCAACAGTTCAGTCAAAAAATTAAAATGGATTTTTGAACTTTTTTCCCAGATAAAACGTCTTGGACTGATGTAATACCATTTCTTAACATAGATTCTTTCGGCGGACATAAGCATGAAGTGGTGTAAAATAATTTTTCACTCCCTCATGTGACAACACATTGACATCCGTCTTGCAGCCCGTTATCCCTCTACAGGACATCTTGTATCAGTATCCAGTGGCTATTCTACATTCAAGCTTTGATATAAATCAACAATGGAGTGGTGTAAAATGATATTTCACCCCTCTCAAAAATTGACAATTTCCATCTTATATTACAACCCCAAAACCCCCATGAAAACGTCTTGCATGTGTTAATCCAATTTTGTTTATGTACAAATTAACTCAATAAATAAATGCAAGACGGTGTATAATTAAATATTTTCCTCGTTTATGATGACATTTTCTGAAACATTTTTTTCAGCGAAATCCCCCACTCCCATCTATTTCCCTGCACAAGTGCGTTTCAATACCATGTTATCTAACTGATGATAACAATGCAAGACGGTGTAAAATCTCCCTCCCTCATAAGACAACACATTGACCTCTGTCTTGCAGCCCATTATCCCCTCACACTGCGTCTTGCATCAGTATCCAATGGCTATTCTACATTCAAGCTTTAATCTAAATCAACAATTGAGTGGTGTGAAATGATATTTCACCCCTCTGAAAAATTGACAATTTCTATCTAATATTACAACCCGAAAACCCCCAGGAATATGTCTTGCATAGGTTATTCCAATTTTGTTTGTGTACAAATTAACTTAATAAGTAAATGCAAGACGGTGTGAAATTGTATATTTTCCTCGATTATGACGACATTTTCTCGAACATTTTTATCAGCTAAATTCCCCAGTCCCATATAGTTCACTGCGCAAGTGCGTTTCAGCATCATGTTATCTAACTGATGATAACAATGCAAGACGGTGTAAAATGATTTGATGAAATAGGCCTCGTATCCCGTACTATTAACAGTCTTAATAAAATAAATTTAATTTATATAGAAGTAAGGGGTTGGTATGTTTTCAAACCGCCTAAATAATTAAACCAACGAATAAACCTGGTCGTCATAATAAGGGTCTAGGTATTTCAACTCTTTACTGAGAGGGCACGCAACTCGGTTTTTATATTGATCTTACATCAGAAACACTCTTATCGGAACAAGTATGTAAAGTAACCCAGGCAAGTATGACAATCACATGAGTGAAAAAAGGTGCTTTACAGACCTGTTGCATACAAAAAAAAATCTGTCTACTACCGACAATATAAAGCCAAAAATAAAATAAAAACTTTTATCACAACTTTACGCCTGTGTGTCTAAAGTAACACTTAATTCACAACCTAGGGTGTAAAGTAAAATTAAATTTTCAATGCAAAAATAGTAGATTATATACCTAGAGAGAGAACTTGGTCATTATAATGCGTAAGGTATATAATGACCACATATTGACTTTCTCTACCAAGGAATATATAGAATTTTCTAGTAGAAAATAAAAAATAGGTTTGAAATCTGTCCTCAAATTATTTTTTCTTGTCGAAAGTGTTGCTCTCTATCAACAGCCTATGGTAATTTCCTATGATGTACAGTCGTGAGCACAAAAAGTGGGACACCTGTTTTTTTCCTATTGTAAAACGGGCACACCAGCTATGCCTACGGCGATGACAGAGATTGTCATAATTGACAAAAAATCGATTGTAGAGAAAAGACTGATTTACGCAAAAATTACAAGACCTGTGAGTCGGGTGTCCCATTTTTTGTGTTAATGACTACATACAGGAACCTGTTTTTTTTTTTTTAATTGATAGTTTGAAATTGAAATAAAACCAATAGGAACCTGTTACGTTATGACGATATCCTTGCATCATGACGTCATTTTCATTATTGACCCTAGGTTTTTTTTCATTATTTTCATTATTAACCTAGGGAGAGAAATTCAATTTTTTCCCAGAAAAATAGATTAAATCATGACTACTTCTCAGGTTAGTAGTAAAAAAGGCTTCTATCGTCAAGCGGTCTATAATTTGAACTTTATTGTCGTCAACACTTGACGCGGAAGTCCCAACGGGAACTAAATCGATCTTTATATTATGAAAAACTGTATGCAGAAATTTTTTGAATTTTGACAGTATACTAATGTAAATAAGGGAGCCCGGCTAAAATATTTTCAAGATAGTGATACTTTTGGTTATTATCGGAAGTAGGCGTCAACTTGCTTATTTTAAATTAGACACCCCATTAGTGATTGCATATTTGGATTCTAGGTAAAATTATGAGGAGATTTCATGTGATCCCATATATTCATATGGAAAATGCTGCCATTTTGTGCCTAACCTCTTGCTACTTTTAAATATGAATATATAGGATTTAATGGACATCCAGCATAAAAAATTGGAAACAACGTATCCGATGACTATAATTAGGCACATCAAATACGTTGTTTTCAATTTTTTATGATGAATGTCCTTTATCCTATATATTCTTATTTAAAGACGTTGGGCACAAAATGGCGGCAGGACCTCTATTTTCGCCACTGTATGTAAAGGTTTATTTAGCCCTTAGATTAGGGAAGAGAGTGGATGCATAACAACTCAAGGGCCCAGTGGCAATTATTGATTTATTTTTTATATTATGGTAAAAATATAAGAAATTAAAATTTACAGATTGATAAAAGGAACTGTCTTAGAGTCCCGAACGCGGGATCGTTAGAAAAACGGAAAATCCCGAAAAGGCGTGGCTTAATAACTGCGGTCGGGACTTTTCAAAAATTATTCTAATCCCGACTTCGGGACCATGGTAACAAAAGTTAACTCCCGAATTTGTAATCATTTTTTATGTATTATTTGTTTTTCCTATACACCTAGGTTAGATTACCCAACTGCTGTGTTTTGGGCAGTTTTGACTGAAAATTTGTATCCTTTATTATGAGTTTAAACACAAATGACACATTTATTGGTTCATAGTTTATATAAAGAATTACAAGATGCTATATTGATATATGAGAAAGAAAATAGGGTGCAATTTTGGAAACGGGATGCAAAAACTATCACATCGAAGCATCATGCCCCTAATTTATACAAGATAGTTAAAAATAAACCTGATATAAGATAAAAATATGAAATAATCCCTTATTATGAACAAGTGGTTTTTGATAGGTACCCCACCCCTATCGAGAGTTATGAGATTCAGGACTATGATGAACAAGAGCAGCAGTTTGAAAATTATGAAATAATCCCTAATCATGAACAAGTCGTTGATACCCCTATCGAGACTTATGAGATACACATGGACTATGATAAACAAGCGATCAGCAGTTGGAAAATTCTAAGATAATAATTATTAACAGATCTACAAAATAAGATGTCAAAGTTTCTTTTCTATTTTGTTAACCTACTAGGAATACACGATATTTGTTTTCTGCTACTTCCTTGTTTTTCTATTGATTGTCTTATAAAATTAAAAGTCAGGAGTTTACTTCTGTTGCAACAGTCCCGATATCGGGATGCTCATAATGTTTGGAAAGTCCCGAACGCCGTTATTAAGCCAAGCCTCTTCGGGATTTTGCTTTTTTCTGGCGATCCCGCGTTCGGGGCTCTAGACAGTTCCTTAATAAAAAAAATACCTTATGAGGTTCTATTCAAAAAGCTTTCTGCATTTTTAATTATTTGTCGGGACAATTTGATAATACAATGTGTCCGTAAAGTAACGGATAAATTCATTTAAAATTCATATCATAATTTTTTTATGGAAAAACGCTCAGAAACGTCGATCTTTTTTTAGTGGCGCTTTTTTTACACTAATTTTTATTTATACAGGGTGACCCAAAAAAGAGATATAACATAATACATCAAGTTTTTGAATGGAATGTCCTGTATATTTTGAAGAATATCGATAGAGCGAGAATTCATTTCGATGCGTTCTATCGATATTTATCAAAATATACAGGGCATTCCATTTAAAAATTTGAAGTGTCTCGTGATATCTCTTTTTTTTGGGTCACCTTGTATAAATACAAATTAGTTTAAAAACACCGCCACCAAAAATTAAGATTGACGTGTCTGGGCGTTTTTCAAAAAAAAAAAATAAGCCCCTCTGAGAATAAGCCCAAATTATAAATGAATAATTTATCCGTTACTTTACGGAAACACTGAATAAAATAAAACATGACAAGACAGGATTTTTATAAACAGGTTTTATTGATACAAAAATAGATGAAAAAAAATAAATATAAATAATACTTACTCAATAGGGTCTATTGTATAAAAAATACAAATTTTCATTGCCAGAATAAATCACTAAACTAAGCATGTATGTACAGGGTGACTCAGAGTAAATTTCCCTTTTTAACATGTTATAAAAACAAAATAAAACGTGTTGGGGCAATTTAAATAATAAATTTTGGAAGTACAGAAATGCGGAATATATTATATTATTTTTAAACACAATTTTATCCAAATGTGAACCATCCCTCGCATAGCACTCCTCCATTGATGCTCTTAAATGTTGGAAGACTCGCTGACACATTTCAATAGGAATGTTGGGAATGGCCTCTCGAATGTTGCGTTTTAACTGTTCCATAGTGGCTGGGGGATCGGCGTAGGTAGACGATACTCTCCAAATATCCCCACAAAAAAAGGTCTAGGGGCGTAAGATCTGGTGATCTTGGTGAAAAACCGATGCCCCCATTTTTCGATGTTACAGTTCCTAGGAATCGATCGATTTGAAAAACACCTCGACCCCAAAGGCGCGTTGCTCGTTCAACCACAATTCCATTTTTACTGAAAATCCGCACGCATTCGCCGCAAATTACCAGCGCTATCCCCTCCACAAGTATTAAGTTGGATGTACAGGGCGCTATTAAAAAGGGAAATTTACTCTGAGTCACCCTGTATTTAGTTAATTCAGTATATTCGTTAATAGGTGATTATCACATATCCTATATGAAATTATAGTTATTTATGTATCAAGGGAATTATGAGGGTGTTAATACCCCAGGGCAACATTTGTGTCCCGAGGGCCTCCGGCCCGAGGGACACCAATTGCCCGTGGATATTAACACCTGATAATTCCCGTGGTACATAGATAATTTTATATCCTACTGAATTTACTTACTGTATTCTATCTATTTTTATAAAGGAATAAACAATAAATCAAAATTTCTATTTTTTCTCAAAGTTTTACTTATTCAAGGTAAAAGCGGGAGTTACGGAAATCCTCAACTCCCTTGGGAGTTATGATATCCTTAATTCCCGCGCGGGAGTTATGAAAATCCTTAACTCCCTTGGGAGTTAAGACCCTGTTTATGATTATCGTAACCAAGGTATTATATGGTTATAATAGTTCAGTAGGATATAATAGTTATTTATGTATCAAGGGAATTATGCAGGTGTTAATACCCCAGGGCAACGTTTGTGTCCCGAGGGCCTCCGGCCCGAGGGACACCAATTGCCCGTGGGTATTAACTCCTGATAATTCCCGTGGTACATAGATAATTTTATATCCTACTGAATTTACTGTATTCTGTCTATTTTTATAAAGGAATAAGCCATAAATCAAAATTTCTATTTTTTGTCAAAGGGTTACCTATTCAAGGTAAAAGCGGGAGTTATGGAAATCCTTAACTCCCTTGGGAGTTATGATATCCTTAACTCCCTTCCTTAACTCCCTTGGGAGTTATGAAAATCCTTAACTCCCTTGGGAGTTAAGACCCTGTTTATGATTATCGTAACCAAGGTATTATATGGTTTTAATAGTTCAGTAGGATATAAAAATCTTAAAAATATCACAAGGCCACAAAACGGCAAAAATGGTCTATGATATTAAAAAAAATAAATTACACAAATACCACAGTGACAGATTTAACAATTTCAAAATAGGTATGTACAGGGTTTTCCAACAAAAGTGCTTTTTACCATGTTACATATCCTATAATTAAATTCAGCAATTTTGGAGATATTGCTAATCAATGATTTTTCAATATACTTAAATTACGAAAAAAATTATATTTCATCGTTGGAAGCTGGTAAGAGTGGTAAGTTCCCGTCTAGTCTTGCTTATTACTATTGTTTATAATCATTATATTGAAAATGTGTCCAATATTAGATGAAATATGCAAAATTTTGCTCAAATCCAGCTTTACCTGATTCACCTTTTACGTAATTCACCTTGGTAAAAGGTGATGGTAATTCAGGATGGTATTTTTTGCCAGTAGTATACTTTTTCTGCAACATTTCTCTATTAATTAGTGACATATTTTGTAAAATTGCTGCCTGTTCATCAAGCAACAATTTTTTTTCTCTTCAAATCTTGAATTATATTCTTAAGGGAAACTACTTTTTTCTTATACCTTTTTAGGGACTGTGTGAGTACTCTTATTTTTCTTGTCTTCTCCTTGCTTCTCAAGGCCACTTCCAATAACTTCATTCTTAATTTCGTTTTTTGAGGACTCTCAGTGGTTTGAGGTTGCATCTCGGGTTGCACTGTAGATGGCCCCGGTTCTGGAAAAATGCTACGTGCTCTCTTAACAGTCTGAAAAATAAAATATATATAATATAGCATAGCGCAACCATAATTTATTAATAATTGTTACATCTATTAATCAGGTTTGTTATATTTTGTTTAATTAATTACTGTAGTCTGATTTTAAAGTACATGAATGAGAATTTCATTCTCTAGACAAAAAAAAACTGTTGTTTTTATTAATTTTAGAAATAATGTATTTAAATAGTGTATGTAAATAGTAGTAAATAGTTCTTAAAAACAGGAAAGCATGCCTACAACGTGTTGTATTATTAATGTGGAAGTCGTGGAGATCACAGATTAACCCAGATCGAGACATTGTTAAGTTTTTTCAAATTCCAAATGAAAAAAACAATACAAATCAAGGGACAACACTGGACGGTGAAGTTGAAATAAATAATTTTTTTCACATTGAGGGTAGGTCGTAATTGGGTAGAAACTAGCATAAATTGAGACGCACACAATAGAAAATGAGTATTGAATTATGATCAAATTCAAATTCAAATTCAGAGGTACAAAATATCAAAAATTCAAGCAATTTCACCGAAACCACTTTCACATAATATAATGACGTTATGGATGCTGTGGTCACAGTTTATACCGTACCGAAACAGTTGTTCAACTCCGCTGACAAACCATTGATTTTTTTGAAGCCAAATTCTATGTCCCTATATTCCGCGCTTGCGCATTATTGATCGGAAACAACGAATCCTGGGCCGTGGAGAGTCGGACTAGGATTTTTTGTGTATTAACATTGAGAATACAGGGTGTCCCACGGTGGATGGCGTATTAGACGTTTATGAAAAACTAAAAAGCGGATCATTTTGAAAATTTGGCAACCGGGATTAACGACCATAAAAATATTTTTCATATTTTTGTTTATGCGATGTTGCCACTTCTACTCTAAGCCAGTGGCAACATCGCTATTTTAAATAGAACACCCTGTATGTGATTGCATATTTGGATTCTACGTAAAATTCTGAGCAGATTTCGTGTGATATACCCTATACCTAAGTTCAACTGTTTGGGAAATATTGACAGTTGAAAATTGACTTTTTGAAATTTTGACAAGCTGTAAAACCTGAACGGTTAATTTTAAAGAAAAACCGATTTCACATTCCTATCTCAGATTTTCATGAACTTTCATTTGACACCAACTTTGAATTTAACCGGAGATTAAATTTAATTGGAATTTTTAATCATAGATTAAATTCGAAGTTGGTGTCAAATGATAGTTTACAAAAATCTAAGATAGGAATGTGAAATAGGTTTTTCTCTAAAATTAACCGTTTAGGTTTTACAGCCTGTCAAAGTTGCAAAAAGTCAATTTTCAACTGTCAATATTTCCAAAACAGTTGAACTTAGGTATAGGATATATCACATGAAATCTGCTCAGAATTTTAAGTAGAATCCAAATATACAATCACATACAGGCTATTACATTTAAAATAGCGATGTTGCTACTGGTTTAGAGTAGAAGCGGCAACACCGCATAAATAAAAATATTTTTAAAGTGTAGATCATGGTCGTTTATCCCGGTTGCCAAATTTTCAAAATGATCCGCTTTTTAGTTCTCCATAAACGTCTAATACGCCATCCACCGTGGGACACCCTGTATAACGGGATCATATTATAATTTCGAAACAAATAGTAGGCATCACTAAGTTTTTACGCAAAAAAGTTCACTGGCTCTTAGACCATTAGGACACAGCCAGGATTTCAATCCCATCCAGATTTTCATCACAGTATTAGATATTTTTGGAATGTGGACAATTATTTCATCAGATCAAGTGATGTGAATGTATACAGTGAGGGGCAAGCTACTAGGTATATAGGATGTAACCTGATGAATTTGCAGGCGTCCGCATGTCAGAAAATGACAAATCGATTTAGCGCTAACCTGGGCGACAACCAAGTAAAAAGTTTCTAGGGTTGTTAATAATTTTATATCCTACTGAACTATTAAAACCATATAATACCTTGGTTACGATAATCATAAACAGGGTCTTAACTCCCAAGGGAGTTAAGGATTTTCATAACTCCCAAGGGAGTTAAGGAAGGGAGTTAAGGATATCATAACTCCCAAGGGAGTTAAGGATTTCCATAACTCCCGCTTTTACCTTGAATAGGTAACACTTTGACAAAAAATAGAAATTTTGATTTATGGCTTATTCCTTTATAAAAATAGACAGAATACAGTAAATTCAGTAGGATATAAAATTATCTATGTACCACGGGAATTATCAGGAGTTAATACCCACGGGCAATTGGTGTCCCTCGGGCCGGAGGCCCTCGGGACACAAACGTTGCCCTGGGGTATTAACACCTGCATAATTCCCTTGATACATAAATAACTATTCAAAAATACGGTTGTGTTTCTCCCTGAAACCAAACGAAATGACGTCCCGGAAAATAATGAGGATCAAGAAGCCAAATAAATTATGTTGTTGGTTGTTGGCATTAGTTAACAAAACTTCAACTATTTCGACTCGTGCGCTTGCGCAGGATATTGACTCAAGTACAAGGACGGTTAGGAGCCACAGAAAAAAAAAAGTATCGTTCGTACAAAGTAAGAAACTCCCAAAAAATTGATCCCGAGGACAACATCAGGCGAATGGATTTTTGTGAAACTGTCATTAATAATGCAAATGAAAATCAAGATTTTCTTAGAAAAATTGTCTTTACAGATGAGTCGAGATTTCAACTCCATGGTCGACATAATCCTAGTCACACCCGTTATTGGTCGTATTTTGAGCTTAGAGCCCAACGTCGTCAAAAGGTAACTGTCTGGAGCGGTTTGTGTGGATAACATATTATTGGGCCGTACTTCATGGACGCTAACTTAACTGGTCCAAAATATTTGGATCTTTTGCAACGGGCCAACGGCAGATAATTCCAGAAATTGAAAGATTATCTGGTCCTATAGATTTAATGAAATATGGTATCAATAAGATGGATGTCCAGCCCATAATACGGGTTTCATTCTGGACCATTGAATAATACTTTTCCGAACCGTCTCATTGCTGGGTCGAGAGCTACAATACTGTGACGCTCTCCCGATCTTGCACCCAACGATTATTTTCTCTGGGGTTATTGCAAATCAAAAATGTATGGTTTTCAGGAGAATCGCGCCGTGAACCTTGAGCAGCTGCGTTTCAAAATTCGAGAAATATATCTAACTGTCACCCCTGTGATCCTAAATAATATTCGTAGAGCCTTCTATGATCGTTTAGATCATTGTTTAGTTCAAGAAGGTGGACTGGGACTGTTTGAACATTTGCTACATTGTAGTGCAAATGGTAATCGAGCCAGGTTTTTGGGGTCAAAACTAGAATTTTTGTTTTTATTTTACTTAATTTTTTTTCTATTTTTTATGTTGAATATATTTTTAGTTTTTCCTGGATGGCTTTTTTAAAATACATGTTTTTTTTCCATAGATTATTGTTTCGGTTCCAAAAAAAATCTATCTATACACGCCGTTTAATAATTATAAGTAAGTGAAGCTCGACGATACATCTAAAAGCACGGTCTAGATGCTACGTTTTGCATCAAGTTTTGTCTGCACAGTTCAACACGTGATCAGGTATCAGTAACGTAACGTCTGGACCGGGCTTAAGTCTGTAAAATCATAAAACGTACTGATGTGAACCATGGTTTATGAACGTCAAAGTCATCGAAAAAACGACAGCGGACCGACAGCGACAGGTGTTCAGACGGCTGCGGACGATCGTAAATTCGTCAAGTTGGTTCCTATATACCTAGTAGCCTGCCCCTTACTGTAGAGTAAACCTAATATGAACTATGTAAATATAAATACTCAGTCGTTCAACGTTCGGGAAACTAAAATATCCTAAGCCTGGGCTAGTTCTAGTGTTGTTTTTACAGACAAAACATTAAGCAACCATGATAATACACAATATATAAACGATAAAACAGTCAAGTACACAAAAATCGCGAATAACACGGCAAGCAAAACACTCTTAACAATTGTGTCTCGTTTGACAGTTATTTCTCGCGGGTTCTCACACAGCTATCTCTATCTCTTTTTTGCGTGCAGGATTGGAAAGAGACATGTATATGCCGAACTGCTTTTTTCAATTTGAGAGATTTGTTCACTCATTGAGCGCATGCGCAAGATATGGGTCAAAAAACAAGTCGCAAGCAATCACCACAGCAACAGCCTGAGATGCTACTACCAGAACGTCCGAAGCCTAAAAAATAAACTCGGTAGTTTGAGAGAAACAGTGGTTGTAGACGAGTATGACGTGCTTCTCTTCACGGAAAGCTGGTTAAATGGTGACATCAGTGACGCTGAATTGGACATTCCGGAATACTTGATTTATCGTTGTGATCGCTCTTCTTTAACAAATGATAACTGTACCCGAGGTGGTGGTGTTCTGATCGCTATCAAGAACAAATATCAAGTGAAAGAAATAACATCCCTTTTGCATGGTTTGGAACAGGTTTTTGTACTCGTGTACATTGGGGGCGTGAAGATCCTATTTACCTGTTCATATATTCCACCCAACTCTGTATTGGAAATCTACGAAAACTATTGCACGCTGCTTGACGATATAATAATGACAGTTCAGTGTGATTTTTTGATATCTGGTGATTTTAACCTTCCAAACATTAGGGGGTTTAATGGGGAACTTGGAGTGTGTGCTAATGGTAATATCCATAGTCAGGCTAGATGCTTAATTGATTTCTTTGCTTATCATAACCTGTACCAACAAAATCACATTCCGAATGCTTCATTGAACTTTCTAGACCTTATTTTTAGTGTTGATGGTGATTTGGATGTTTCTGTGGTCGACACCCCATTTATAAAATGTGATAGATACCACCCTGCACTTCAATTCGATGTAGAGATCCCATCTGATTTTGTACCCTTGAAGTTCGATTATTCATATCGCAATTTTAAATTAGCTAATTACGAAAGTATAAACAATTATTTGGCTTCAGTAGATTGGGGTTATTTGTTCACTCTTAAGGATGTTGATATTGCAATTGACAAGTTTTATGATGTAATTTATTCTTGTATCGAAACATTTGTTCCTAGATCTAGAACTAAAAATCGCAAATTTCCGAAATGGTTTGATGAAAACTTGAAACATGTTATATTTGCCAAAAAGGCAGCTCATAAAAAATGGAAAACAACGGATAACATTATTGATTATGAAAATTTTTCAGTATTGAGACAAGAATGCAAAATTTTATCATCTTTAGCTTACGAAAATTTTATCAACTTGACAGAAAACGCAATTATCGACGACAAAAAGGCATTCTGGAAATTTGTGAAAGATAAAAGAAGTTGTTATGTATTACCTAATTTAATGTCGTATGGTGGCACAGTCTCGAATGACACTGATTCAATAGTTAACCTTTTTGCTGATTTTTTTGGTTCAGTTTAAAGCAAGGTCAAAAGCCACAACGATTTGCACGATTCGCACAATTCGTTTGTAACGGAAAACGAACTAATAGATTACAAATATTACAATACGGTCGATTTAAACAACATTTCAATTACACCATTAGATGTATTTAATGCTATAGAGAATACAAAGCCACATCTAGGTGTAGGACCTGACAGCGTACCACGAGATTTTCTATTCAATTGCAGATTCATTATTTCACCCATACTCTCCCAAATTTTTAATTGGTCAATCAAATCTGGCACTTTCCCAGATAAATGGAAATTAAGCTTCATCACTCCTTTGCATAAAACCTCTGACAGAGCGAAGGTGGAAAACTATCGCCCAATATCAAAGTTGAGCGTGATTGGTAGATAAGATTTTTGAGGAGATTGTTACTAATAAAATTACGCCGGCTTTTAAGGGTATTATAACTCCTGCCCAACATGGTTTTGTCAAGGGTAGGTCTTCAGTTACTAATTTGCTCTGCTTTGAGGAGTACCTCTCGAATGCTTTGGAGAGCAGATGCCAGGTAGATGTCATTTACACTGATTTCTCCAAGGCATTCGACAAGGTTGATCACGTCATTTTGTCAAGAAAACTGGAAAAGTTTGGCATTTCTGGACCACTACTCCATTGTCTAACCAGTTACTTAACTAACAGACAGCAGGTGGTAAAAATAAATAATGCTACTTCCTCGACCATAAATGTTACATCTGGTGTTCCACAAGGGGGTCACATATCATCTCTACTGTTTAACTTATTCATTAATGATATCCATTATGAAATTGAAAACTGTAATTATCTCTTGTATGCAGACGACCTAAAACTTTATAAAACAGTAAAGGAACTAGACGATTGTGAGGTGATCCAGAAAGATCTCAATGCGTTTTTGGATTGGTGTAAAAGAAATAGATTAGAACTGAATGTTTCTAAGTGTCAGGTAATGAGATATCATAGAATAAAGACTCCAATTATATTTGACTACTCTTTAAAAAATAAAATACTATCCGCTGAAATTTTCCATAAAGATCTTGGAGTAATATTAGATAGTCCCTTAAGATACGATCTACAGATTGAGAGCATTTATAACAAATCGATAGTTACTTGGTTTTATTGGCAGAACCCTTAAAGATTTTAATAATATTGAATGTTTTAAGGCTTTGTATTGTGCAATTGTGCGATCGACGTTGGAATATGGGTCACAGGTATGGTCACCTTTCTACTCTACATACATAGACTTGCTTGAAAGGGTCCAAAAGCGATTTCTTCGACTTGTTGCTTACAAACTAAAAATCCCACGAGAACAAATTGATTATAATCAATTGCAAACCTTACTAAAGCTTCCATCGCTGCAAACAAGACGTTTAATTCTTGATTTGGGATTTTTATTTAAGCTTTTGAACAACACTGTCGATTGTCCATATCTTTTAGAAGGTGTTGGGCTTGCTGTTCCCCAGCGAACTACTAGAAGTAGAAATTTATTTTCTGTCCCATACCATCGTACTAAGTATGGCCAGAATTCGGCTTTAACGAGAATGTGCCGCCAGATGAACTGTCTGGGTGATGATGTTGATGTTTTCAATTGCTCAAACCCTAGTTTTATTCGACAGGTTAAGAAGCTTTTATTGTAATGTAATGTAATCAAAGTTCAAGTAATTGTGTTAGTTTAAGTCTTCTGTTTTAAGTGTATTTTTGTATAAGTAGATTTAGTAAAATGGCAAATCCGTTAATAAACATAAACAAAATGCTCCTATTGGTTGGAGAATTTGGCCTCAAAAAATATGGAGAGTTGTACAACTGTATCGGTACGGTATAAACTGTGCTGTGGTTATGGTTTGTTTTTCATGTATTTGTTTTGTGTGCCTCTTGCCGGCCATATTTTCCTTGTCAAAGTCACGTGTTTTGGATAGGAGTTCAATGGCTAATTAGGCTAATTAGGTACCTATTGATCACAGAACCTATTGATCTTTGTTAACCAAATTTATGACAATCATAGAACAACATGACAATTTCAGAGAGCAACTGATAAGTAATTTGAAAAAATAAAAATAGTCAAAATTAAAAAAAAAAAAAACATAAAATAAAAAACCCTTTTCACGTGGCTCCTGTTTAACAAGTTAAACCGGAGCCACGTGAAAAGAACTATAGGTTTTACCTGTTTTGGTTGTAAATGTTTTGGCAACTCTGGAAAAATTGTTGGGATGGCTTCATTCAACAAACGAATTCTTGACTCTGATTCAGACTGATATAAATAACGTTCTTCAAAATGTTTTGAACAAATTCTAGAGAATTTAGTTGGCTCCCATTTGTCGAGTTTCATGTTATCCAACCACGTTTTGCACTTCTCTACATCCTTTGGAAAGCTGAAAAAAAATTAACCTATATTTTCAAATTGTTGAGTAGAATATATTTTACTTTTAATCGAGCATTTCTTTATTCTTAAACAAAAGGAAACAATATTTCATTAAATTCTTATGAATTGACTAACATAAAAGAAAAATGTTGACGCCACTGGCAAGATGACAATCTGAGACGTTTTTAAATATAGTTAGGGAGACGACCGCATTTTTCCTACCCCGATCGAGTTATGTGTCGACACTATTATCAATATATAGTATTATGTGCATCTATTAACCAGTATTCCTGCCTGAGACTGAGAGCAAATGCTGCCGGAAATATCTTTTAACAAATTGAAAAAAACGTAACACTACCCCCATCGAGTTATGTCCTAAGTAGGGTATCAGATGGGAAAATCTATTTTGCTGATCAGCAAATTGCTGATAATGCAGTTTTTGGCTGGATAAGCAACTTAATCGAATGCCATCAGTTTGTAAAGTTGTGGTCAGTTAGTAGAAGTGATGTGAGCCATGCAAACAATTGCCGCCCCCGTCCGCATCCATTGCCGCCCCCAGTATAAAAAATACGCCTGATGTATTGAACTTTCAATCCGATTTGATGCGGTCACTTAGGATGGGTGCTGTCAACATCGAAAATCATATATAGAAAATGATTGCCGCCGACCGCAGCCGTTGCCGCTCCCCAGAATCAAAAAAACGCCTGATGTATTGAATTTTCAATTCTATTTGATGCGGTCACTCAGAAAGGGTGCTGTCAACATCAAAAATGATATTTAGAAGATGACCGCCCCCGACCGCCGCCGTTGCCGCCCCCCAGAATTAAAAATACGCCTGATGTATTGAACTTTCAATCCGATCTGATGCGGGTTCTTAGTAAGAGCGCTGTGTGTGTTTTGTAATTATTATAGGTGGCAACCAACCTTTATGCACAGCTTTGTCAACTGACAAGTAGTACTTGTGCTGTCAGTTGGGTCGTCATAAAATTGCAAGTTGTCAATCATAGCCCCTTGTGTTAAGTTGTATTTTCTAATCTGTTATTAAAGTTATAAACCTTCTATGTTTGTTTGATGCCTCATACTTCCTAAACAACATACATAACACTGTGAACATGAAAATTTTTATGTGGGAATTGATCGCCCCCGACCGCATCCGTTGTGCCCCCCCCCCACACTGAGAAAAACGCGTTAGCTAAGCACGTGGGTTGAATTTTTATAGTAGTCATTACTAGAAAAATAGTTATCACGACCACTCTGGTTTTGTTATTGCAGCCATTTCAAATTAGTTGTACCCTGGAAATCATCTTTACTGACATATCAGTTGTTAGTACTAAAAATTGTTGTCAAAACATAGCTAACTATAATTTTGGTTGTCACAACATGTTGTGATTACTAATTAAGCTAGTTAAATAAAAAATAACCAAAATATGTACCTACCTATTAATACTAAAAAACCAGTTGCAGCAACCTGATTCTCGCAACTAGTATTTCTTAGTTAATTGTACGGACCAATAGAATGCAGCGCTCATTTCCCCACCAGTGCCGATCTTGTTTTTGCTTCCGTACTTGGCCACGAGTCGCCTGCGTGTATTCAGTCAGAGTCAGTCTCAAACGGTCAGTTGATGCGTAGAATTCGATGGTCGATTTAGGAGTTCAGGAAAACGCAAAAAACGTCGTGTTTGGTGATGTGCGCGTGTACTGTGAATTCAGTGTATTGAACTTTATAAAAAAATAATAATTGACAATAGAAAACCACGTGCCACGTGCCTCAAAATGGACATATACTCTAATGTTATAGTTGACTAGTTAGTATAAAAAACTGATTTATGAAGTTGAAGCGCGAGTTAATATCAACATTATACGTGTTTTTTCTCTTAGAAAATTGTTTACGTTAAGAATTAATTTTGCGTTTATCCTCATACTCACATGTACTATATTTTGGAATAAAAATAATTATTAAAAACAATATGTTTGTGTTTTTATGTTTCTATTGATTTTACTTAAAAATATGGAAACTCAACAATTTGTAGCTACCCCAATAACCTTAAGGTGAATATTGTGTTTATTTAATTATGAATTGCTGAATTCGCATATTTTTTAAAATTCAAAAAAAAAAACGACATCGTAGGTATTTTTTGCAAGAATTTTAAGTTTACAAAAAAATATGCGACTTCAGCAATTGAATTGAATATACAATAATCACCTTAATGTTATTGTGGTACATAGTTACAAATTATTGAATTTCCATATTTTTTGGTAAACCAAAAATGATTGCTGGTATAACTAGTTTCCATGCTATTATAACAAATACTTTCCAGTTGCCACTGCTAAGCAAGAAGGCAAAGTCAACTAGGAAATTTAGTTGTCATGGATATTATACTGGTGACGCCAATACAAAATTATAGCTTGAATAACTTCGGACAACTATGAAATAATAGTTGCTGCAACAAGTTTTTAGGTTAAGAATAAATGTTTGCAACTAACTAACAGCCTATTTTTTTTCCCAGTGCAGAATCAAAAATGTGCTTGATATACTTCAGGCGTAATTTTGATTCTGAGGGCGGCAACGACTGCGGTCGGGGGCGGTCAACTTCTACATATGATTTTTGATGTTGACAGCACCCTTTCTGAATGACCGCATGAAATCGGATTAAAAATTCAATACATCAGGCGTTTTTTTGATTCTGGGGGGCGGCAACGGCTGCGGTCGGCGGCGGTCATTTTCTACATATGATTTTCGATGTTGACAGCACCCATCCTAAGTGACCGCATTAAATCGGATTGAAAGTTCAATACATCAGGCGTATTTTTAATTCTGGGGGCGGAAACGGCGGCGGTCGGCGGCGGTCATTTTCTACATATGATTTTCGATGTTGACAGCACCCATCCTAAGTGACCGCATTAAATCGGATTGAAAGTTCAATACATCCGGCGTATTTTTAATTCTGGGGGGCGGAAACGGCGGCGGTCGGGGGCGGTCATCTTCTAAATATCATTTTTGATGTTGACAGCACCCTTTCTGAATGACCGCATGAAATTGGATTAAAAATTCAATACATCAGGTGTTTTTTTGATTCTGGGGGGCGGCAACGGCTGCGGTCGGCGACGGTCATTTTCTACATATGATTTTCGATGTTGACAGCACCCATCCTAAGTGACCGCATCAAATCGGATTGAAAATTCAATACATCAGGCGTATTTTTAATTCTGGAGGGCGGCAACGGCGTCGGTCGGGGGCGGTCATCTTCTAAATATCATTTTTGATGTTGACAGCACCCTTTCTGAGTGACCCCATCAAATCGGATTAAAAATTCAATAACATCAGGCGTTTTTTTGAATCTGGGGGGCGGCAACGGCTGCGGTTGGCGGCAGTCATTTTCTACATATCATTTTTGATGTTGACAGCTCCCATCCTAATTGACCGCATCAAATCAGATTAAAAATTGAATACTTCAGGCGTTTTTTTGATTCTGAGGGGCGGCAACAGCTGCGGTCGGCGGCGGTCATTTTCTACATATGATTTTCGATGTTGACAGCACCCATCCTAAGTGACCGCATCAAATCGGATTGAAAATTCAATACATCAGGCGTATTTTTAATTCTGGGGGGCGGCAACGGCGTCGGTCGGGGGCGGTCATCTTCTAAATATCATTTTTGATGTTGACAGCACCCTTCCTGAGTGACCGCATCAGATCGGATTAAAAATTCAATACATCAGGCCTATTTTTTATTCTGGGGGCGGCAATGGATGTGGACGGAGGCGGCAATTGTTTGCATGGCTCAGATCACTTCTACTAACTGACCGCAACTTTACAAACTGATCGCATTCGATTAAATTGCTTATCCAGCCAAAAACTGCAATATCAGCAATTTGCTGATCAGCAAAATAGGTACACCCGTATCAGATTGAAGATCTCGATGTCCCCTATCTAAAAAGTCGATCCTGCCTCGTGAGAACTTGCCGGAAAGGGGTGGCAGGGCAGCTTATTGGAGCAAGGGCCCGCGGTTTCAGCTTTGACACCTATCAAGTTTTGCGCTGAATGATGTGTCAAATTAAAGGTGTCAATAAGTTGATTTAAGGTCTCTTCGCACAGAAATCCCAAACCAGAAGGAGTGAATTTCATTGCTTGAAACTAGTTTCCTGACTGTTTCCAACCAATGAAATTCGCTCTGACTAGGTTTGTGATTTCTGTGCGAACAGACCTTAAATCAACACCTTTAATTTGACACATCATTAGTGCAAAGCTTGATAGGTGTCAAAGCAGAGACCGCGGGCCCTTGCCCCAATAAGCTGTCCTGCCTCCTTTTTCCGGCAAGTTCTCACGAGGCAGGATCGACTTTTTAGATGGGGACATCGAGACCTTCAATCTGATACCCTACTTAGCACATAACTCGATGGGGGTAGTGTTACGTTTTTTTCAATTTGTTAAAAGATATTTCCGGCAGCATTTGCTCTCAGGCAGGAATACTGGTTAATAGATGCACATAATACTATATATTGATAATAGTGTCGACACATAACTCGATCGGGGTAGGAAAAATGCGGTCGTCTCCCAGACTAATAGAAGTTTAGGCGTGAAAATTATTGAAATGCTTAATAAAAAGAGACATTTTGGTTGTAATAAACATATCCTAACATCATATTAAAAGATTCTGTGCCAAATATTAGATTAAGTATACAAAAAATCAACATAAAAACACTGTCACTATGCAGAATCATTATTTTTACCTGTGAAAAGAGATTCCTGCTTCCTTTTTCTCGCTGCGACTCTTACATCCAAACGCTGAACAATTTACCATCGTAATTCACTTTTTTTTCAACTTCCGGCTGATTTTCACCCGAAATTACTCGAAAAATAACAAACACGTTCGCTTTGCCTGCCACATAAATAATGGCCGATGGCCGCCGCCACCTCAACAACGACTACAGAAAAAAAGAATCGAATCAGTATTCAGTGCACCCTATAGGGCGCGCTATAGGAGTTACTGTATTCCTTTTACCCGTTGAATTACTCGGAGCTGCTCAATGTCAAAAGCTTGAACGTTCCTTTTAAAAGTGCGTTAAGCACTCGAGTCACTCATAGACAGTGCATCCCCCTTTCCCCTGATGCATCAAATTTGCGTGGGGTGCAAGAAGCCCTTTTATTTAGGTAATGTTAATATTAAAAAACTAATGATAAAATCTGAATTGTGTGTTTTGGAGTGACCCCGAGGAGCTCATTCGGTGTAACTCGATCTATAAAAGCAATACAGCTTATCGGCCTCGTTTTTGGTAATCGCCGCCATATTGGTTTTCAACCATTGCCGACGTCATAAATAAGTCATCAGCTGTTTGAACAGCGTACGTCTAGGAGAGAAACGCCATGCTGTTTACGTCACAAATGGTTGTTTGGCTTGGAGAGGTAGGGGGGATTTGTTACACACAGGTCTTATGAGAATAGGCATAAAATTTCAACAGTTCCTCCTTCAAAGCAAGAACTGCGGGAACCGTTCCAGAACAATCCCAGAATTGTTCTTAAATAGTTCTAGATAAACCAAAACGCTGTTATAGTCCAACAAATACCATTTTAAAGTCACGTGATTTTTCTCTATCCTTGTTGAATACATCTCAAACAGCGGTGATAGTAAAATTGACAAATTCTTCATAATATTCTTACCTGAAATAGAATCAGTCACTGTCATCAATTAGTTTGTCAAAGTTATTTTCGAAAATAATACAATGAACAAACACAGCTAATAATTTTGACTATATTAACCTTTTTCCAACTCGAAAAGAAGCAAATAGAAAACGGGTACCCAGTTTAAGTTCAGAATGTTTTACATAACAGACAGCAGATACGACAAAAGTGAGTCTCGCAACAATTGCAAGTATTAAAATTGCCCTCTGATTGGTCAATACTACTTCATAAACGCGTTTGTAAAATGCTAGTGGGAACATATCCTAAAATTCAATAGTAATTAATCACCAGTAGCATTTTGTAGGTGATATGAACGACATAATCAATGGACATACGTTTTTTGCCACCAATATCACGTGACTTTAAAATGGTATTTGTCGGACTTTAACACAGTTCCATTACGATTCTGAAAAAACGAAAACGCTTTTTATGAGACGCACTTGTACAGAATGATTCCGAACTAGTTCTGAGTGAAACCAAAATAGAGCTAATAAAAAATATACCCTCCCTCCACCCAGAGATCCTCTACCCAATGACATTTGGACATTTCAATAATGGACCGGCCCAGAGGATTTTGTTTTCCATTACTACAAATGCCATATTCTGGTGTTTGTTTGCGGCCAACATTAGAAAGAGAGGTCCGAGAGAGATGGAGCTATTTGAGGCAAACACTCATATTTTTATCTAAGGGCTGTAATCAAACGTTGACAACTTATTGCTTGACAAAAACAACAAGCACGTCTAATCCCGTTGTGTTTTGCCACAATTAGCTCTATCCTTCTCGCACTGCGTTGGAATCAATAAATCGCCACCAAGGGTCGGTCCATAGTGAAACGTAATAGGATGTCATAATTGCCTCTACCTAAGTTCAAATTTTGGAAAATGAAAATATTGACAGTTGAAAATTGACCTTTCTGCAACTTTGACATTGACAGACTGTAAAACCTGAATGGTTGCTTTAAAGGGGGTGTGACCCAAAAATGAAGTTTTAGTGCAAAAAAATCTAAGAATAAATATTTAAATCGCATCTTGCTACGATGTTCTGTTTTCGAGTTAGGGCGGTTCAAAGTTACAACTAGGTGTTTATGACATCTCACTTGATTATCAGGGAGAGTATTAACACGTGTAAGAATTTTCCAAAACAAAAGACAAATTATCTCACTAGAGCGAATTGCTATTTGCTGCCACTCAAAGTATAGGGTCAGTCCACTGACGAATGAACGAACAGAAGAAGACTGCGATTTCGGCGGTTGTGACATCATAAGCTGCAGCATAATTTATCTTCACAAGGAGTTTTCTCGGAGACTATATTTTGCATATAGGACTGCGTTTTCACGAGAGATCCACAGATTTTTTTTCTTGATTTAAGTAAGTCAAACCGATCTGATTCTTGTCTTATGGCCGGTTTTCCACCAAACAGACTGTTGAGTTTTTGTTTTAAAACTCGAAATTAACCCGAAAAACAAAACTCCAAATGTCGCAAAACACGCTAATCTTGAAAATGTTTGGGAAAAGTTAGAGTTTTGTCTGAGTTTAAGTTTTGTTTTTGTTTTGTCGGTTTGGTGTAAAACCAGCATTAGATTTTTATCACTAGTGCGATAATACAACTTATTACGTTACAAGAGAGTTCTCGTGTCGTCCAAATTTCAAATACCCCGTCGTAACGCTATTTGACAAGTATGACAGTTCTTACGGTATTAGCGTTAAGCGTTAGCGAAGCCCGCTATCTAACGGAACTTACCGAATGCCTTACCGTAACGCTATTCTATATCAAAACTAGTTTACGCTCCATTTATGTCTGTAAAAACAGCAACTTCTAATGATTTCCTCATAAAAAACACCAAGGAAAAATTAATCAAGCTCATAAACAAAAGTTAGAAAACACGCAAAAAAAGTGGGGTTAGATTGCTCAACTCAGCAGGCTACTTATTCTTGAAACCAGGGACCAGCGTTCTCATGAGAACGATTGCTCTGTCTTTCTCAATGATATGCAAATGATAATATGAGTAACACAGACGGAACAGTTATTCTCATGGGAATACTGCTCCCCTGTTTCAAGAATAAGGGCCCTGTCACAATGTAAACTAGAATAAAGGGATTAGAGGATTTATGTGTCTTCGCGCCCGAGAACTATAAATTACCATGTGAAATACCGTATTGTTAGCGGTACAGTATAAGCGTAGCGTCTGACGCACTAGAACTTTCTAAAAATTTCTTCACTTTATGGTGGTCTTTACCACTCTACATGACCGTTTACTTGGCCGTGTAAACTCCGCTTTATGAAATATTGAGCTCCTGTGATTGCGACTCGTTAAGATGATAAATTATTTGGAAACTTAAATTTTACCGCCTAAAGCCTAGTACCTAGTACTCATAACTGCGAAATTCGCATTTTTTTGACATTGCGTTGACAAGTTGACGTTTTATGCGTGTATCAAACGTCAAATTGTCGAAGCAATTTCAAAAAAATGCGAATTTCGCAGTTATGAGTACTAGGCTTTAGGGCGAGTTCTCATGAGCGTAAGTTGACATTTCTGGCGTAATCACTTGATAAAATGGTTGGATTTTATTGGTGAAATAGTCGCCACGCTAGAGATTTTACCAATCAAATTACACCATATTATCACGTGATTACGCCAGAAATGTCAACTTACGCTCATGAGAAATCGCCCTTATGGAAATAAAGGAAGTGCGCATCCCCGCTTCTCGAGCTTCATCTCGCGAGGTAGTGCTTGTGGAGTTAACTCTTTTCACTCTACTTGGCTGTACCCGAACGATGAGAAGCTTGCACTATTTGCTCCCAGTAGCCTGACCCACAACCTACAATCTTGGTTCATAACAGAGTTCAGTTGAACTCGACTGGTACTTGAACTCGACTGGTACTTGAACTTCCCCATTTGAAATGCATTGCTGTCAAAATTGCTAGAATTTGAATAATCGCTGACAGGTTCCTAGATTGTCTTGTCAATGCTTTCAAATTTCATGAAGAAAAGGCTTGTCTTGCCAAATTTTTGACATGGGGAATTATCAATAGTAATATAACTAGTGCAGTGGAAATTATTGATAATTTTTGGGAAATTTGCCCGAATGCCTTTTTCAGTTAAAAATGCATGAGTGCAAATTTGTCGAAAATTATAAATATATTTCCATTGCACGAGTTGTATTTAATGAGAGAATTTCATAAATCAAAAATTTGAATTTTTTGTCAAAAAATGTCAAAACACCAGTTTTCGCACCAGCAGCGATGTAGCTATAGCTTTCTCATGGGGGTGGTTTTAGAGCAGTGGCGGCTCGTGGCCTGGGAAGGGTTTCAATTTTCGATAAAACGTTGTACCTGGCATATAGGGATGCCAACTTTGAAAATAAATTGAACCGGAGAAAAAAAAACATTCATTGAAAGAAAAATGAGAAACAAAAATCCTACAACAGATGCATTACACTATACATACTATACCGGGTGACAATGAAACTACTACCCATGGCGGCATTTCTTAACGACTCGAGATACAAATATGCATCTCGGTTTGTTGATAGGGCTGAAAATTGTGAACAATTGAATGTCTTTTCCGGTTTTACCGGAAATGGCAGTTTTCATGTAAAATACAAACAAATAGGAATTATGACATATTTTTGAGCCACTCTATTTCAAAAACTATCAATTTTTGACATAGGGTATGTCAGACAAAAGTTATTAAGAATTGTTCAGAGAGTCAAAAAATATATATATATACAGGGTGTCCCATTTAAAATAACAAAGTCAATGCCATTTCCGGTGAAACCGGAAAAGACATTCAATTGTTTTTATATATATTTTTTTTTTTTTTTTTACGGATATGCGCACTCGCCACTCGCCACTCGCAAGGAAATGTCCTATCACGCTCGAGAAGCGGCAAGTGCGCGGAAATGTCGGTGTATGTTGGTCTTGAAACGGTTCAGGTTGTAACCTGCAGGGAAAACCGTCGCAGGGAGTTTATTCCACAGCGATGCTGTTCTCCAGAGATATGAATTCTGATATAATGAGGTTCTTGGTGCCTCTAGTTTGACAGTAAATTCATGGTTACCGTCTGTTAAAATTGTTCACAATTTTCAGCCCTATCAACAAACCGAGTTGCATATTTCTATCTCGAGCCGTTAAGAAATGCTGCCGTGAGTAGTAGTTTCATTGTAACCCGGTATATCTATACACAAATCCCCTCCGGCATCTCCTTTTGTTTCTTGATGTTGGGTTGGT